CTTTTTTTGTTTGTTGATCAATAAAAACTGAAAGGGATTTGAGATGTCACCTATAACAACCTCCCTTGTGTTTCAGGTAAGAAAACTGATAGTCAAGGTTATACTGTTTTTTGTTAGGTCCAGGATTAGAATTCCCATCTCTTTTTTCCCAGGCTCCTGAAACTTAGGCTATAGCATGCTACTTATTTTTAGGAGAAAGTCTTAAGAATTTTCTCTTTTTGGAGTAGGATATAGATTGTTTTAGAAATATTACTTTATTAGCATTTTTATTTATATTAAATGAGGAGATGTGTTTTTAAGTAATATGCAGGGAAGGCATTCCACATTCAGTGTTGTGATAGCTGGCCTCATAAGGGCTATGTAGAACTCTAAAAGTGGTATTAATGCTTTTAACTTTTGTCAAGGTAAGATTTAAAATTAACCAAGAAAATCATAAAGACGTTTTTGTTATTCCTGTTTTAAAGAATAAAAATGAGAATAAAATAAGCCCAGTTCCTCTAAAAATAAGGGTATTTTTGATGAGTTGTGATTTAAAAAATACATTTTAAAAAATGGAAAGAATAAGTTGTGAATTTTTAAACCATTTCAGAAAGATAATTAAAATTTAACAATAATTACAAAAATTTTACTTTAGTAAAACCAATATATAATAGCAAGTTTATAATCAGATCAGTATGAAAAAGAAAGATTACACATAATCCCACTCTCCAGAGAAACCCATAATGACATATTGGTATATTTCTTTCCAATCTTTTTTCTTTGCATAATGGCATGTATTTTTTTTTTAACATGGTCAAGATCACACTTGACATTCCTTTTTTTATTTTGCTTTTTCATTTAATATATGATAAATATTTTCGTACATCCTTAAACAGCCTGTGAGGGGCGCCTTGGTGGCTCATTCGGTTGTGTCTGACTCTTGATTTTAGCTCAGGTCACGATCTCCATGGTTTGTGAGTTCGAGCCCCACATCAGGCTCTGCACTCATAGCACGGAGCCTGCTTGGGATTCTCTTCCTCTCTCTCTGCTCCTGTTTCCCTTACGGGTGTGCACACACACATTCTTTCTGTCTCTCAAATAAATTTTAAAAGTGTCTGAAAACATTTTGCAATAGCTCTATAACATTCTTCTGTAATTTATTTAACCATTACCCTATTTTTTGTTACTTAGAATATCATAAATTTTTTTCTATTAATGCTGAAATGAATAACTGGGTGTACAAATCTTTGTTCACATTGTTCTATTTTATTTATGATAGTTGCCTAAAAAAGGAATTGGTGACACATACTGCCAAAAAGCTTTCTAGAAATGTATTAATTTGTACTCCCACTAACAATGTATGAAAGTGCTTGTTTTATTGCACCCTTAACAACAAACTGGTTGTGTTTGATGAGAACTTTGCTATTATTTTGAGGTTTGAAGCATTTGTTGAAAAAATTTCGGATGGTGGGTCTACATACTGTATTTGTTTATGCTACCCAAAGACACTTAGCTGTTTGGAGTTAGTTGTCTATTTGCTTTTACAGTGGCTGACTAACCACATGGTTAAATAAAATAGAGTATTTACTTACCTATCTTTCCAAGAGCAAACTATTCTGACCCACTTATCTTGATGCAACTATTTATTTATTGATGCAACAATTTAAATTGTAAGGTTAGTGAAGGTTAGAAATTTCAGTTGGCCATTTTTTTCCCTAAAGTGAAAAGAATTCAGTTGAAATAAGTTACTTAAAAAATTGATCAGGGGGCACCTGGGTGGCTCAGTCAGCTAAGTATCTGACTCTTGATCTCATCTAGGGTCTCCATCTCAGGGTTGTGAGTTCAAGCCCTGCATTGGGCTGCATGCTGGGCTTGAAGCCTACTTAAAAAAAAAAATTAATCAAAGAAGTTTAAATAATAGTTACTCAGTAGCTGCATGTGAAGTGTGTGTGTGGGGCGGTGCCGGGGGTGTGGGGAGATGGGGGGAGAGATGGGGGCGGGGGAGATCGGAAAGGTTGGGTGGAAGGGAGGGTAGGGAAAGATTAGAAAAAGAGTGAAAGAAAGGCCTAGGAGAGAAAGAATAAAGAGAACTTCTGCTTTTGCCTGGAAAAACTTGTCTTTACTTTTGTCCCTACCTTATTGACTCAATCACACAGAAGCCCTGTTTGCTGAAATAACATTTTTATGCCTATACCTGCTGAAATGAACTGGTACCTAAATATGTTTTAAAAGAAATTTTTTGAAAGTTGTGTAGACTGATTATGAGTAAAAAACATTTAAAGTTTTGATTGTTAGATGAGAATGTGATGTAGCTTTACTTTGGTTAAAGATTTGGATAGTACAGACCCTTATCTTTCCTTAATGGCACAGAATTTAGTATATTTTTGTTAAGTAAAATTTCGAATCTAGAAGCTTAGGAAAATTAATATTTTAAAAAACTTTATTGTTAAAAATCAAGAGCGGGAATCACTGAGTATTTTAGGTATGAGGAAAAGTGCATTTTGTTTTTCACAGGGCTAAGTTCATGTTAGCTTTCATATAATGCTTCCCAGAGATGTAATTTTAACCAGTGTGATTATAACAAAGTAGTACTTACCCATGTGCCAAGGACTCTAATAGATACTTTACTAGAATTAAGTTTTAATTTTCACAATGCCCTGAAAAACATGAGTGGGTAAACTGAGGGACCGATAGGTTAAGAACCAGTCCAAGGTCATGCAGCTAGTAGGAAGTCAAGCAGGGGCTCCAAATCTTGCGTCTTGCTACCTTTACGACCTTACTACTTAACATGGCCCACAGACCACAAGCACTTGATGAAATCTGAATGCATAAAGAACTGGCAAAGTGTTGGCCACAAGACCTATTGAGTCAAACTCTTTATTTTAATAAGATCTGTCAAGTGATGTGTATGCCTAATAAAGTAGCACTATACTACATCCCATATAAAAATTACATTGAGGTTTTGAAATCCTTTCTAAGGATTATTCCTGATTTAACTTAATTCATGTGGGCTATCAACATTTTCCACTTCAAATTGCTATTCTGTTGCCTCTTTGATTCAGATCTTGTTTAATCCAGAGGAACAATTGATTTGTTCTGCTTGTGGACATTTGGTCAAAGTCTGAATCAGCCAAGCATAGTTCTGGTTTTAACAGCCTTTAGTCCTGGACTGAACGCACCAGATTTATAGTCCATGGGTTCATTCTGGATATGCATTTCCCAAATTAAAGAGAACAATGCTTTAAAAAAGCATTTTTGAATGAACCTTGAAGTCTTTTGAAATATTTGATGTTTTAGATGGTTACCAAGGAACCACAGATCTGAATAAAATGGTCTGCCTACTAATTTCATTTTGTGAACATAATTATTCTGTCAGAGGGGCAATGATAGGTAAGAGAAGAAGGAAGTCTAACTTAAGAATATCAACGTCCAGTAGAAATATAATGCAAGACGCATATAATTTTAAGTTTTCTAGTTGCCACGTTAAGAACGTGAAAAGAAACAGCTGGTATTAATCTTAATATATTTTAACTCAGTAAAGCAAAATATTAATGCAACATGCAATCAGTATAAAAATTATTACTGAAATATTTAATATATTTTTTTGTACCAAGTCTTGAAAAATTTGGTATGTATTTTATATTTACAGTGTCGCGATTTGGGTGCTAAATTTTCAACAGTTAAAAAGTGAAATGTAGTCCAATGAAAACAAAATTGTGTTTAATGGAAAATATTTTACATTGCTCTGCTTTTAAAATTTAAACTAATTAAAATTAAATAAAATTAAAAATTCAGTTCTTTCGGATACATTAGGCACATTTCAGTATCACATGTTGGGTTGTGTTTCTAATATAACTGATTTCAGACCTATGGCATTGATCACACCCTGTATGGTCAGTAGTGAATGCCACTGGAGGCTGTAATGAGTTAATATAAATATTACTTTACAGAGAATAAAGAGGGAATAAAGAAATGCTATTTAGGTCATAAAGCCTGTATTGATATTACTCCCTCCGATCCTTACCGCAGTTGAAATTTACCTTTTATTAGTGGTTCAGAATCAGTTTCTTAACCCTTTAGCCCCACTAAATTGTAAGGTTAGGGCCCCGAGTTAGGGTCCTTCCAATTCCCGCCCGCCCCCGCCTCGTGGCATTAGTTGCTTGCTTCAGAGCTCTGCATACTTTTCAGAAAATTGTGGTAATCCGACAGTTAAGTGTGGCAAGCAGTATAGTATGAGTAGGTTAATTTGACCCAGAGGCTTTATAACTATATATGTACCTGGATTACCTGCGACTTGCTAAAAATACTAGTATCTGGACTCCACCCTTCTAGATTCTGATGCACAAAGTTTAAAGTGGGCCCTGGAAACTTCTATATTAAGTAAGTTGTTCTAAGTGTTTCTGAAGTCTGAGAACGTTTGGGGACTGCTGGACTCAGCAAATGATTCTTAAACGCTGGGAGTTCGAATTTAACACATCATGCTGTGTTGCCACACATTCGGGTTGCCACGCATTCGATTTTCCCCGGGCTGAGGTTTCCCAGGAGGTTGCTGCTTTTCTTCTGCACATGGGTTTTTTCCAGGCTGTTAAATCCCATCCCCGAAGATTGCCCTGACAGCGTCCCTGTCCCAAGTCCTGTTAAAGCGACCTGAGCTTGTAGAGGTAGAGCGTGGCCATGTGACTGACAAACCAGTTGCCAGTTTCGGGCGGCCATTTTTGAGGCGGGCACCCAACCTCATGCCCCATAAACCGGGTATAGGGGGAACGCTGATACCAAGACTCAAGATGGCCACTGTTCCCACTAGCCCCTCGGCTAGCCAGTGGGCCAGGCAGCCGGCACGAGACGGCGCGGGCGGCTCGCCTTGGCCGGAGGCGCCCCCGGCTCATCTCCGGCCACCGGCCGTGGGCGGAGTGCCCGCCTCCTCCCGGCGCGGCCAATCAGCGCGTGGGGCCGTCTCGGCTGGGGCCGCCGGCGTGCGGGGTGTGTGAGGACGCGCTCCCGGTCGCCGAGTGCCTGAGCAGAGGAGCAGTTGCCGTGGTACCTGCTGCTGCTGCTGCTGCTGCCGCTGCTGCTGCCGCCGGTGCGGACACAGAGCTTCGGACGCGAGCGCTGGTGCGTGGGGCAGGAAGGTGAAGCCATGACGTCCGTCAGGTAATGAAAGAGGGCGGCAGTCTAAAGTGCTCGCCTGCTGGGCATTAGCCTCCCGACTGCCGAGAAGTGTCGCCCCTTCTCTTGAGTGGTCTGGAGCCTCCCCGTGGCACGGGTCTCCCACACGTTGCAGCTTCTCTGCACTTTTCAATTTGGTCATTTCTGCTCTCAGAAGTTTTTGGGTTTTTGGCACATGGAGGAGCCCTGTAACTAGCCGCACCGCTGAGGTGACCCTCGTCCAGATGCCGGGGTCTGAAGCTTGCTTATGTGTGTAGGATTTCTCATGAAGAAAATGTAGCTATCTTTCCCCCCTAGGGGTGACCCAGCGCCTGAGGAAGTGTGACGTGCACGGTGTGTAGCTATGCCTGCATGTCATGCGTTCTGACAACTTCGTTTGTGGCCATGAGCAGACCTGTATTTTTGGCCCTCTCTGATGGAATTAGATCGCCCCCCGGGCTGTGAAATTGTGTGCCCCTAAAATGTTTGCTTATGACTGGAATTAGTACTCTGGCCAGGTACCATATGTTTACTTACTTTTTTCTGAAATTCACAAGTGAAATGACTTTTGTGAGATAGTAGATATATAATGAGAGCGCTGAACAGATTAACCCCCAGTTGCTCTTCCAAAGTTGTGATGGTTTCTTGCTTTTTCTTCTTCTTCTTCTTCTTCTTCTTCTTCTTCTTCTTCTTCTTCTT